TTCGTTCTGCAGTGTCCAGCAGCGCCTGCCGTGGCCCGGCTTTGAGAACGGCTGAGCCGTCAGAAAAGGGGGTTAAGGCAAATAGAAATAATCCAGCTCTTTTATTTTTAATTTGTAAATCTCATTTGAAGTTGAACCCTGTTATTCCCGAGGGCCTTATTGTAGATGTTCGTAGCCCTCTGCAGCGATGCTTTATACATGCTGTTTAGTTTTGTCATAACTGGGTCATTTTTTTATTTTTTTTTTAATTTATAGTGCAGAGCCCTTGGTTTTCTCTGTGGAAGCCTGGAGACTGCTGTGACACAGCCAGCTAGGTTATAATCTTTTGGGAAATGATACAGAGGAAATTTGGGGTTTGCTTGTTTGTTTTCTGCTTTCCAGCAGGGCTGTTCCCTGGGTCTGGGCTGGGCTGGCTCCATGCTCCAACGTCCCTGTAGGACCATGAACAGCCAACCCGGTGTTCCAGCTCCCAGAAAAACCTTGTCCTGGTGGTACTTTGTGTGTCCCAGGAAGAATCCCTCACATCACTGCCCTGGCCTCACTCTCAGACAGCTGAAGAACCCCATCCCCTGGCTTTTGCCCCATTTTGAGGCCCCTATTCCCCTTGGTGTCCTGGACTGCAATTTAGTATTTGTCCTTTTGCTGTCCCTGCTTTAAAGCCTTCTAGGGATTTGCTCCAGACCAAACATCTCCTTTCTCTCCCTTTAACCTTCATCCTGTAATTGGATTCATTTCTTTCATCCAGCCCATCCCGGGCTTCTCCCCATCCTTTTATGTAACGGTGCTGCTCAGGGCTTGACTGAAACAGATGGAGGGGTTTGCACCGATTCCTATTGCACGTTGAATCCCACATTGGTACAGTGACCCTCTTCTTCTCCAGTTCCTGCTCCCTTCCCATTTGCTGCCTCTTCTTCCTTTCCACGTGCTCCCTCCAGCCCCTGCGTATCTCATGCAGCAATTACATCCCTGCACAAACCCTCTGAGCACGTGGTGCTATGGCACGAGAGAAGTAGTAAACGCAACAGCCCTGCATGATGAGCAAAGCAATGGCAGGATTATCTGGAAAAATGATTGATTTTTCTACTCCTTTCATTAATATTTATTCTCCTTAATTTCCGATCTTTACTCTTCAGCTCTCCAAAGCCTTTGTGGTTGAGAGGCTTTTCACTGAGGTTGCTATTCATCACCTAAGCAAAATATCCATGGATTAAATTGGCACTTTGTCAAATTTGAGTCCTGTGCTGGAATCAGACTTTGCTGGACAGGCCCAAATGTCTCTGCAGATCTTTCTGCTGTTGTCAGAGTTTTCCATTTGGTTTTCCTGGCCCCATGTCCCACCTGGGATGGATATGCTGCTGTTTCACTAAACACCAGGTTTCTCCTATGAGAAACACTCACCAGCGAGCACATTGACATGCCACATGCGCTGTCTCTTTTTCACCCTGAAGGCATCTGACCCTGTTTCCTTGTTGCTTTGCAGAATGAACTGGTGCCTTGAAAGCCTGAAAGGAGATAAAGCAGCAGCAAACTCTTCTCCCGTGTTGCAGATAAACTGCTATTAACAGCTGAGGGTTTCTGGAATGAGAAGGGTGACTCTCCATTGAAAGCGCTGATAAATCCCGGGCATCCAGCATAATCCAGTCCACTGTATCAGGAAATCTCTTGGGGGCTGGCAGCACTGAGCACAGCAATGGCTTTTCATGCTACAGTTCTCCCATGGGCAGATAATCCTCATGGACACAACTGCAAAAGCTGGAGGTTGGATCCTGACTGTTCTTACCTCCCCTTGTCAGCAAAACAACTGCTGCCTTCTGCTGCGAGACGGGGCTTACCTGCAGACTTCATCTGCAACGGTGACCACAGGACTGAATTTTGCATCCCGCGTGTGAGCAAGAATATCATACATCATCCTCCTGCTGATTTGACAGCGCAAGCAGCCCTGCAAAGCAGCGATTTAATGCACTTCTTGGTGCCTTAGTGTTTCGTCTTGCTATGCTTAACCTGATATATTGTTGTTTGATACGGGAACAGTAGGGGGGGTAAAAGGAGGTAATAAGAAAATGAAAGGTCAGTGGGTGCCTGTTGTGTGTAAAGGCTAAATTGCTCTTTCATCAAATCTAATAAATATTCCCTGCGAGTGAGGTAGGGAGCTCCTTTTCTGAAATGTTAAGTGATTTTCCTGTCTCGGAGCCTCAGCCCAGGACTTGGATTATCAGATGAAGGCAGGATGGCCCATGGCCGGCCGTGACCCCTCGCCTGCCCCTGGGTCACCCCCGGCCAAGCCCTGTGCCTGCAGCATCGCGGAGGCCGGGGCAGCGGGGTGTGGGGGGAGAGCTGCCAGCCGCAGCCCCTCACTGCGCATGAAACTGCATTTTTCTACCATTCCTAAAAATATTCTTGAGCCTTCAAGTGAAAACCCGGTGGTTTGGATTTGAAAACCAAAATGGAAACAGATGAGATGCATCCCATCTTTTTTTCTCACCTCCTCTCCTTTCTCTCTTCACTTGTTCCAGATTGGGAGAGAATGGCGAAGGAGTGACCAAAAATGAAAAAAACAAAGCAGGGAAACATTTTTCTCCTGTTTATTTTTTTTCCTTGTTTGAGAGACTAGAAAGTTTTTATAAGCACAGAAATCTGTTTTATAAAAAAAAAAGGGATTTTAAAAAATTTTAATTCCAACGTAAGATGATTGTTCTGGGATAGGACACTTTGGCCAGTGCCTGTCTCCTCCACCACTGGTAGAGAAGATAAATTCATCCAGGCTATGTCCAGAAACACAAGTTTTCCTCTTTCTTTTGTCCTTCCATTGAGAAACTGAGGCAACAGGCAGAATTTCCAAGTGTCACCAGTTTGGGGGTGTCCACTTCAGGTCACCTCAGGCCTGGTTTCCAAAGAGGCTTTGGCCTTACGGGGTGCAGCACCCATTTGTCAGGCTTTGAATGTCTGTGGGAAGCTCTTGTAGGTGCATTGCAGGCCCAGAGGAGCTCAGCGAGTTGCTGAGGATGTAAATTGGTGCAATCCTGCTGGAGATGGATCTGCTGCGAAGACACCGCTCCACCTGGGGTCTCTTGGAGATGCTGGTGCTGAAAGAGCTGCAGCTCATTGCATCCCCAGGTAAAACTGAGATCGCTGCCTCTGAGCGGTGGGATGCTCCCTACCCTCTGCTGCACATCCAAACCTTCACCTCCTTCCCCACGTCTGACCTCCACAGCTCGCTGCCGTCGGCAAGAAGAGCCTCCAGTCTCTGGGTTGGCTGTAGGATCCAGGCAGAGTGGGAGGAGAGAGAAACAACGCGAGACAAATTCCCCATTAATCTAAGAGATCATTATTTGCTGCTAGAACCAGAAGGGTGAACTGTTCTGGGGAGTCAGCAGGAGTTAAATCCCTGCTATTGATTCTCACCCAGCCCTGCTGCGCAGCCGTGAATTACTGTGAATTACACCGCGGAGGAACTGAAGTGGGCGCGAGGCAAGCGTGGGGACGGGAGGGGGAAGTCTGTGCCCTTAAAATATTTATGCTGCAAATTAACATGTGTTTTAAGCCTGTGATTCTTCAAATATTTATCCAGCGTTAATATTTTGAAAACTGCATTAAAATTTGCCACTGGTGCTTTATTCATGGGGAACGTTCAGCAGCCACAGACAGCGGCGCCTGCTAAATCTGTAATGCGTCCATGTAGAGACAGCAGCTGGAGGATGGTGCCTGGGCTGTGAGAAGGAGCTTTCTGCTCCTACTTCCAAAGCAAGAAGCCTAAAATGAACTCCTTACCCATGTCGACTTCAGCTGTGTGATCGCAGACATTCAATTCAGCAGAGCATGCGCCAGGTTTTTGACCCATCTGACTCGAAGGAAAAATAATTTAATGCAAGCAGGGTGAGATAGATATTCCTGTGACCATCGGGAAGGGGAACTGGGGCTGGGAGACACACTTTTTCTAAGCTGGATGGCTGCTGTGGGTCTGGTGGGGCTGTGAGAGCAAACTGGATACACGCAAAGCCATGTCCTCCCTTCACAGGCGGGTCAGCCCCATCCAAGGAGCCTGTCAGATATGGGGCAAGAGAGGGTGATTTGTCCCCCTGCGGCTGTCGGGGGTAGTGCTGTGGCTCTGACACTCACCCCCAAATTGGGAGCTTTGCTGGGGGACGCCCCAATGCCTGACCAAGAGCCAGGCAGAGAGGCAGTGCAGGATTTCAGTCCTTTACACTCTCCCCGCATTCTTTCCGCCCGCTGCGTTAGCCTAGGGCTGAAATTCAGCTTCAGACTCATATTGGCTTCTACCTCCTGTTTTTTATGCAACCCACTTGCCAAAATACCCCGAGCACGAAGCAACTTGGAGGGAAAAGTACAGGACATGGAGACAAATGCTCAGTGTTGCTGGCACAGGGAGCTCATTTTCTCTTGATTCCTTGACACTACAATTGATACATGGCTTAATGGACTTTACTACTACTGCCAGTTTCCTGTTAAAATTACTCCCAATTATGGCAACCATTTAACTTTAGGTACGAGCAGAACTGCAAGCAGCTCCATTTGGTACATCATATTTTTGTTAAGCTTCTAACCTCTGCTGCAATTTTGCTTCATAAAACAGGGAGAGTTTCAGGGGGCCTGCAGATTGCAGATTGTTACGGGGACTGCAGCAGGACAGGTTTTTCGCATTATAATGCTAGGGACTGAGATTTCCAGTGATTTTTAAATTTTCATTTATCCTCATTTTTGCATTGGCAATGAGGACGTGTGAAAAAATGCTTTTATGGACTGGGCAAACCCAGAGCAAAATGGTGCCTGTTGCTCCCACCCATTCTGATGCTTCCACTGAAGAAGTCTTGGAGTCAGGTCCCTTATTTTCAGGTCTCTGTTTCCATTCTTTTTTGAGTACTCTTGCATAATTAACAGGTGAATCTGGCAGACAGCATCCAGCTAATACAGATATGATTAATTTTTATCTTCCCTTTTTATTTTAAAGGTTGTCCTTTCCAATGCAGAAAGCTTCATTGCAGATAGATGGGAAACCTGCCAGCCAGCCACATTTTTGAGGTAAAAGGGGACAAGACATGGGAAAGTTTAGTGCTTTGAAAAAGTGACCTTTCTTGGTAATTAATTTGTCACTTCCCAACACCATCTGCTGACTCGTCAGCTGCATCCATCATAACCATGCAAAAAATACTGGAAAAGTCAATTAAAATGAGAACCAGTGTCCAATGGGCTTTATGCAAATTCTTTAGCAAAGGGAAGGGAAAAAAAAAAACAAACCTGTCATGTGAGATGTCCTTTTCATCGACACACATGCACATGGTCGCAGGGAGAAAAACTATGTTGACCTCTCTGGAAGTTTTATAGCTAGGACCACTTCATTGCCTGGTGATAAGCTGCAGTAAATGCACAGGGATCTGGGAAGCATCTTAGTGACTGCCACATTTTTTAAGGAGGGGTTTGGCCCAAATTGAGCGTTATTGACTGTAGTGACAGCAGCAAGTCCCTTGTGAGGACCAGCGTGCAGGGCAATGTGTACATGTTGTATTGACTAGCTGGGATGGAGCTAGGTGAGGAAAGTCATTCTAGAGGCTCGGGCAATAGCTGTTTCCCCCTTGGCTCCAGCACATACTGCCAGTGCTTAGCTTTCAACCAGCCAAGCAGGAATGCTGCTGCACACTCCTGCTGTAATACCCCATAAAGCCATTTGATGCAAGAGGATTTCATTGCTTCCCCAACTCATTTTTCCCTCTTGCATCTCTCGCCTAGTTGCTCTCAGGTTTCCTTACACGTAGCCAACCTGTCTGTGAGAACAGGACATTTCTGGCCTGATCCCAAACCCTCCAGCATCAGTGTCTGTCTGATGGTCTTGGGAGAGCAAAGATGAGACCGTATGCAAGTCACTTGCTCTCTCTGCACCTCATTTGTCTGGAGAGAGATGCTGATGCACAGTTTTGTGTCCCTGAGGGGGATCAGTGTGTCCAGGACTGTGAGATGCTCAGTTGTGATGGTAAAAGGGACCTCATGAAGACTCAAAGTAGGCAGATAAATCCCCTGGAGTGCTTTGATATCTCCCCACTTGTCTGTTCAGTTTATAAAGCTCTTTGGTGATAGATTCAACGTGTATAGTTTTATTTATTATTTTAATATTTAGCTCTAGGTCCTGCCTGGGGATTTATTACCTTAAATCTATGCTTTTTTCATACAATCATAGAATGGTTTGGGCTGGAAGAGACCTTAAAGATTATCCAGTCCCAACTCTCCTGCCCCAGGCAGGGACACCTTCCACTAGCTCAGGTTGCCCAAAGCCCTGTCCAACCTGGCCTTGAACCCTTCCAGGGAGGGGGCAGCCACAGCTTCTCTGGGCAACCTGTGCCAATGCCCTCACAGTGAAGATTTTCTTCCTTATAGCTAATCTAAATTTACCCGTTTTCAGTTTAAAACTATTACTACTTGTCCTATCACTACATGCCCTTGTAAAAAGTCCCTCTCTTCATTCTTCCAGCCTTGGTACTCTATCAAGCAGATCCCTGAAAAGCCCAAACTCTGCTCTCCTGAATTCCAGAGTAGCGAGCTTGCTGTGCGCCCTCCTCACTGCCCTAAGGATCCTGAACTCTACCATTTCATGGTCACTGCAGCTAAGGCTGCCCTGTAGCTTCACGGTCCCCACCAGCTCATGCTCGTTGGTGAGAACAAGGTCCAGCAAAGCACCTCTCCTAGTTGGCTCTTCTACCACCTGGAGAAGGAAGTTATCATCGACACACTCCAGGAACCTCCTAGATTGCTTATGCCCTGTTGTGTTGTCCCTCCAACAGATACTGGAGTGTTTGAAGCTCCCCACGAGGACAGGGGATTTTTATAGTGTTGGTGGGTCAAACTTCACTCTGCATTATGCTTATTTTGTGGCAATGTTGTTATTATTGTGATTTGTCCACATTACAGTAGAAATATAATTAAGACACAGGCATCATTTTACTACTGGTACACTGACATCAGAAATGCTTTATCCTGGAGGGCTCATAAGCTAAATAGAAAATCTGGGAGAGAGGGATTTCTTCATCTTATAGATGGGAAATTGAGGCAGAGATCCCCTGTCAAGCTGTGGGACCCACTGAGAACAGCTTCTGCCGGCCTAAAGACAGAAGCCTGGGGAGGAAAGGGGATTTTCTTGGAAACAAGAAACTCCTAAAAATCCAATGCAGATAACAACGTTCCCTGTCTGGCAAACTCGTTTCCATGCAGGCCAGGCAGCTGTTCGTCAGCTCGGCTGGAAGTGTGGGCACCTGCGCAGGTAAGTGATCGCCCACTGGTGCCTCTACGTATATATAAAGGGTGGGAAAGCGAGCAGGAACATCCAGGCGTGGACAGGAGCAAGAAGAGATCTGACCTTCAGTGTCCCGTGGCTGTGCTCGCCAGGTGGGTGCTTGGTCTCTGCTCCCCTTTGCAAGCTCGGTGGGGTGGGCAGTCACAGGTGCTCAGGTAGGCGATGGTGTTACCAGCACGCGTTGGCTTCAGTAGAGAGAGCTCTGACAAGGAGAGGGGAACAAAATCAACGCTTAAACAAGGGGAAAGGTGCTTTCTGATTATTCTCCATCATGGGATCATCGATTCCACCAGCTCCTGCCTCCCTGCTTGCCAGGAGCACCCAGCAGACACTGAAGCGTGCTGCAGAGGCGCAGGGAGCCCTGGGTGCCCTCTGCACTCGGGAGCTGCTTTGAACAGACAGTAAATGAGTCACAGACAGCCCCTATCGACAGTAATGATTTGATTTTTTTGGAAGACAGCTCAGTAGATAAATGTGCTGTCTTGTCACTGCGCTCACATCACTACCAGGTAGATATTCACCCCTTCCTGCCCTAAAATTAGTATTTCACCCCATTTTACACAGGCATGAGCAGAGCTGGGCAATGCTGCACCCAGCCCCACGCGACCGCAGTACTTTGTTGTGCTGATGCTGAACTTGGGATCCTCCTGCTTTGTGCTTTCTCTTTGTAGCTGGGAAGCAAATTCACTAACAACAAAGTACATATCTGCCTGGAGAGGCATTGAGCTAGAGATCTCAGGTCTGAAAGACATGTCCTGCTTACAAAATAAGGAAGGGACATTCAGAAATTACATTTTTTGACTGGAGTAATGTGTTGAGGGTGTTTCTTCGGGGGAAGAGGGAGCAAATCAATTCACAAAGGGATAGTCAATACGAGATGAAGAAGGCGACTGGGTTTATTTCTTTGTATCTAGCAGTATTTTATTGCAGTGATAGAATAAATGAAAAGGCACAAAAGATTGATGCTACTGAGATAACACCATGTTATCAGCACATATGCGTATGAACGTGTTGTATTACAAGGGGAGAGCCTGTGAAATCCCCTTTTGATCACTGCAACAAACGGTACATCTGGTGGGGTCACCCAGGGCGACGTCCCCGCGCAGTTGAGAGCTTTGATGACCCAGTGTGGCTGGGCAGGGGGGAGATGGCACCAGTGCTGCCCTGAGCAGTGCCAAGGGAGAGGAAAGGGGCTACAGCCTCCTTCATGGCTGGCAAGAGCTACGGAAAAGGAATATTTATTAACTTCCACTAGCCTTCAGTTCAATACTAGCTGATATTTATGGGAAATCTAATTTAGGGGTCAAATTTGACCTAACAATGTCCTTTCAGTAACATCCTAACCAAGAGGTTTCTGAAACTAATTAAGGATCTGGCTCCAGTCAGGTAAAGTAGTTAAGCTGTGGGACCAGACTTCATTAAATTCATCCAGAGAGAATATTTTAATATTTAAAGAGAACATTTAATGTTTACGTAAGTCCTCTTCTGACGTGAAGTCACTGTTAAATCACTTCAGAAGGCAGTTTTTAAAGCCCTTTATACTAGGCTCTTACAGAGCCAGGCTGGCAAATGCCCTTCCCAGCTCTCTTGGACCCCATGAGGCTTATTAAAAGATTCAGTCCATCAAGGAAGGTTTTCAGGGGTGAGGAATATGAAAACAAAATTTAACAAAACAGCTGTCTTACGGTTTTTCTCTCTTACGGCATCACTCTGTCTCCCTTGCTGTCAGTGGGATTGATGGGAGCGTTTTGCACTGGATGTGTGCAGGTCTTAAACCAGTACAGCTGGAGGGCTAAAGCTTGCAGAACAGAGGGAGTCTTTAACAGTACTGAAGGGCTGGGCTTGAAGTCTCTGGAGATATTGCTCAAGAACAAATCTGTTTACAGAGGAAGGTTTGAGAGGAGAATTGTCAGTCAAGACACTTCTATTCTCAGCTCAGGAGCAACTGGAAAGTAAATATACCTCTAGCTAGCTGGTGAAGAAATTAGATTGCAGCTGATCAAAAGCCAAGGGGTTTTCTTGTCAAATGGCCCTCTCCATTGTCACCCTGGTATCTTCTTTCCTGTGTTGTTCAGACTCTCACGATGGTTTCAAAGAAGGTGGTGGCTGGTTTGCTCCTGGTGTACGTGGTGTCTATGCTGGCTGAACAGACCGCAGGCTTTGTGCCCTTTTTCACCCAGAGCGACTTCCAGAAAATGCAGGTAACCCCTAAGAAACTACTGCAGGAGCTGGAGCCCTGAATAAACCAGGGAAGGTGTTTCTTCCTCCTTCTAGCCCCAAGATCTGCCACTGCACACAGCGCCACTGTCATTCCCATCATCTGTCCCTCCTGTTCAAACAGGAGATACTGTGCTACTGGCAGTCCCCTACTTGTCCCAAACTTAAGATCTATGGGAGAGGGAAGAGACAACCTTCAAGGTGTGAGACTAGAAAGGAAGAGCCTAGGCTCCTTTACATGAGAACTAAAAGACCTGTGTGGGTTATCATCTGCAGCTAGTGGGTCTCGTTTTTCTTTCCTCCATGCTAGTGGCTGTAATTTTTATAGAGAAGCTGAAGCCTCCCATCACCACACTGATGGGTCTTTTTGTTGTAACGAATAATTAACGATCCTCCAGATGGTTGTCACCTCTGGGATGTGCAGAGAGAAGAACGTTTTTTTCTTTTGATGTGAAACTAATACTGTTGAAAGGTGTCAGGCAGGCAGCCTCAGAGACTGCATCTTCTTAAACACAGCCGAAGTGAGCTTCCCCCGCACAACACAACCCATTGATACCAGGAAGAAATCTTCTTTCCAACACCCACTCACTCACTGGATAGCAATTGTTTTTTGTGGGGGGGAGTACAGTCATCCTTCAGCCTCCTTGAGGAAGATGATGGGGACCCAGGCACAATCCCTGGATCGATTGTTCATACATCACAACCCTTGTAGCTACATGTCTGCTAGTGATTGAGGGTCTTCTAGATGTACGTGGGTGAAATCAGTCTTTCGAAGGCTGCCTCTTCGCCCCTGAGCATGCACTCAAACCAAAGCAAGCGCATAGCAAGCAGTCAGTTTGACACTGAACGCAGCCTTTGCTGTATTTTACAAGTCCTATTGTGTCTGTCATATCCCAAAGCAACTTTGGCTTTTCTTTTGGGGTTTGGAAGAAAGTGTTCTAAAGCCAAGTTTAGCCCCTGAAATGCTGGGGTTTCAACCTCAAGCCCCAAATTAAGGTTGACATATGGATGATTCCCACAGTCCTTCACAAAGGGGGGGGGGTGAGTTTGCCTTTAGGCTTCCCCCCAGGGTGGGCCGGCCTTGCAGGGAGAGCCATTGGGTAAATGAGCCCCAGGTGTCCCACAGTAAGTAAACAAGGGTCAGGAGTCCTATATAGGGATAAAAGCTGGGACCACTTCCAGGAAGAGGGGAGTGTTTGTTTGTGAGGTGGGTGCACTTTGCAGAGTTTCCTGTAGGGCTCCAGTCAGGTCTGGCTTTTGTAAACACGGGCTGTGTAGCAATTCAGTATGTGGCTTCCTTGGTCTTATGTGTTTGGCTTGTTGACTCGGTTGTCTCCCATCCCTTCTATGAGAGACTGCATGTCGCCATTTATTCCACCCACTGTTGGTGGTGCAGTGTTCTTGTTGGGGTCAGTGGGATTGATGTCCATTATGTATAATCTGACTTGTTTGTACCCCCAGCACTCACCCATGTACTGACCCTTTTGTATCAAATACAATTTGGTTATTGGCTCATCTTTATGCTGGCTGTGTCCTTTATGCTAGGCCTGATAATTAGCAAAACAGCCCCATAAATGGGAAAGGACTGACATTACAGACCTGCAAGAAAGGCTGGTAAACCATAACATCTGCACAGAGCTCTCCATTTGCAGTGAGGCTGTGTAGGCTTTTATTAAACTTCATTGCCACTGCTATGGAAAGAACCAGGACCAGCCCTCTGGAACAGCTCTGTAAGGTCAGTATCCTTGGCTACTACATCCTGCCGACAGCGTTATCTTGCACTGATCAAAGGGTCATCTACGAGGTCATGTTTGGTACAGATCTTTACACCCAGTCCTGTAACCTGACCTTACACCCAGCATTGCAGCCTCTGCTGCATGTCAGAATTACAGTCCCCAAGGCTACGCTGACCAGAGCTGATGGGTCCCTTCCCAGTGAGCTGTGGTCCTGGGGAAGGATGCTGCACCGGCTCCAGGCAGCGGTTAGACCTCTGGTCCCTCTTGTTTTGTGCCCAGCCGTGCAGGCTCCTGGCTGCTGGGCATCACACTGTTGATACGGTGCAGTGTGGGTTTGGTATCTGCACGATGCAGCGTCCCAGCACTGCTGCCCCGTTTGCTCTCTGCTTTGAAGTTGCAGGAAAAGGAGAGGAACAAAGGAGGGCAGAAGAAATCCCTGACCTCGCTGCAGCAGCTGGAAGAGGAAGGCTTCACTGAGCAATCTGCTGCAGATGTCAACAAGGTCAAGACCATCCAGGTACATTGAACCACGTGACTTGAAGGAGCCCACAAGGACACAGAGGGGGACAAGGAGCCCAAGAGTCAGCCTGTGGGTGTAACCAGGGCGCTCACAGTCAATATAAAGGAATACCACCCATTTCCTGGCAGGCAACTGAGCAAGGTTGCACCAGAGAAAGGTTCTGCCTCCACCCTATAAATTATCTTGGATATTCAGCAGCCTGGTTACCCCTCAGACCCACCTGGCTTCTCCCTTAGGGAGATGGAAACAACAGGAGGTTTTTCTTTGCCATTCAGTGAACAGCAGCCAACTGCAAGGCAGGAATCTGCAGCTCTGGGTTTAACTTATTGCTTTTTCACCCAGGTCCAGATTAGCTTCCCAGTGTCACCTCCGATCTCATGGTGCTCTGCACTGGCAAGACCTTATTTATAAACTTGGGCTCATACAGCCAGGCTTCCCCGAAGTCTGCATACAGAGCAGAAAATTGACAATTTTAGGGATTTAAGTGCCAGTCTAAGCCCTCAAAGGCATGCTTACCTGGTTAACCAAGTCTGAAAATTGTGCTTTTCCACCTGAATACAGGGAACTCTTTGCCCTGACCGTGCAGCCACTCTTGTGGTGAGCTTAGCCATTCTCTCTGCCAGCAAAAGGAGAGTGTAAGTCCATCCCAAACAGCAGGAGAGACTGAGCAGGACAGGCAGCGGGACTAGCTAGACTGGAATTTCACCAAGACACAGGTTAATGTGCAACTACTCTCGCAAACGTGGCACAGCAACAATCAGTAATAGGATTTAAACGGCAAGGATTCACAGCCTAAAGCATTAAATAACCGGCACATCCCAGTGTCTAACACTCCCCTCCTCAACCTCCGCTGCAACCACAGGCCCTCCTGTGCCTCGAGCCATGACCTGAACAACTCTATTTACTTCAGGTACATCTGAGCCACAGCTGGCTCAAAGTCAGTCAGTCTGGAGGCAGGATGATGTCTCATCCTCAGACTTTAGTAAGGCAGGGTGCTTCACCAGCATCAGTAAAGCTGATGGCTTGAATGGTCAAGATGTGAGATAGTGAAGGATTATAAGGTTCAAAAATTATTTTCTTCTTCACAGTCTCTTTTGCCAGGAGGGACCTTTATCTGAGTTTCTGAATCAGCCCATAGATGATCCAGTGCATGAAAACTCTGGCACTCTAAACAGCACAAGATTGGATTGACTTCAAAATGCTGCTTTTCCCCATGCAAGGATCATCCTCTCCCCTTCAAATCAGCCCTAGACCCTCTACTGACTTGAGCAAAGTGGGGTCAAAGCACCCCAACCTGCTCTCCTCAGCTTTTCCTTCTGACTTTTCTGCCTTCCTCCACAGCTAGCTGTTCCTGTCAGAGCTGGGATGTGGCTCACCCCACGGCAGCTGGAAAAATACCAAGATGTCCTGGAGAAACTGCTAGCAGAGATGTTACAGGACACCCCAGACGGTACTGTCAGGAGGTTGATTTCTGCCTTGGGAATTCTGCCTTTCCCTTCTCTCACCAGCTTATCATCACAGAGATATTTATATTCCTCAGAAGGGCTTTTGTGTCATGTTTGCTCACTTTACTGAGTCCCCAGATACCCCACCCGCTCTCATGTACATGCTTTTCTAGGAAGGTTATTCGCTCTCTTAGGGTGTTGTCTGTGCCCTAGAGCTGATATTGACTGTTAACAACACTTCCCAGCAGCTGCACTTGCAGCTTCCCACTTTCCTACTCCTCTTCCCAAAGAGTCCTCAGTCTTCAGTGTGCAATTTCCAGCAGAGCTTATAACGCAAGTTACCCCTGCAAGGCAGCTCAGCACCTGCAGTCAGATCTGAACACCGTGCTCCCCGCACAGGGGCTTAACACTAGCACTTAATTACAGCCAGAATTAGCTGCAATTCAAAGTGTTGGGGGCTGACAAATCCAGCCCTGGGCTTTGCTCTTGGTGTACTGGAATTGCAACAGAAAATATCCAGGGGCAATATGTTACGCAGCTATTCCTACCTGCGGACTTGAGGAGTGGTGGAATGGGTCTCACTAGTGTTATCTCTGGACCTTTATCTTTTCTAGGCTTAAATGTCCCAAACAAGAGCGTCCCCTCCATCCCTGTGGGAGTTGTTTTTCTGCTTTGGCTGTGCTGAGTTCAGTTTGCCTTCCAGGTTTTTAGCTGGGGAGCTGAGGAGGAGGAAACAATATATAAAGCCTAGGAAAGACTGAGTGACAAATTTAAGGACACTTGTTCTTTCCTCTCTCTCTTCTTTTTAGCTGACTGATATCCGCAGAATCAGAAGAGAAAGCGATGTAGCTTGCTAAAGTTAAAAGACTCCACTTATGTAAACGAAATATGTAAAAGAGATTAACAACAAAATCTGAGGTGAGATAATAAAATGCGCAGTATAATTAAATGGAGGATTTGTGTCTTCTTTTCTGCATGCCTCTCCGCCAGATGGCAAGCAGCAAGTGTGGGAAAGAAGAGAAGGGAGGGTTTCCAGTTCTAGAGAATATCACCGTCCTTCTGAGAAGTGCGAAGCATGTTGCAAAGCCTGTGTAATTAATCTCCATGGACTAATAACTTTTACTCCTCCCTTTTGGCAGTGAGGGAAACTGAGGCAAACATTTACCAGATTTCCTAGCCAAACTGGTGACACAAGTGTAGGATGGGGAGTGTGGGGTGGGGGACCTGGGCGGCCCTAAGCAGGCTCCCTGCTCTGGACGCGGGAGGGCACTCTCTCCCACACTGCTGGGGGAAAGCAGGAGCCCTGATTTGCAGTTCCTACCTGTGCTCTTACTCACCCAGGCGGTATAAATCTAAATATCATTGTGGGGAGCACCTTTGTGATGCAAACAGACACAGCATGTGTGAAACAACGCAGAGCTCTGGCCTTATTTCTGCCTCTCAAACAAACCTAGAGGTGAAATCGTAATTCCTCTTGAACATATTGCTCTCCATTTACATACCTTTGGTTTATTTTAGAGCTGCTCCTCTATACTGGCAGCAGGAAATCCAACATATGTAAAGTAAGGACAGATGAGACCAATGGTATGTATGTGAGTATATCCAATTTCAATCCAATTTTATCCTCCCAACCTAACACAAATTCTGTTCTCACTGTGGCTCATTTAAATAGCTGTGTTTGTGCTAGAACAACACTCCTCGGTATGCTCTCTGCTGCAAGCCATCCCTTAGGAAAAAAGAAATCACCCAATGTATAATGTAACATCCAGCACAGAGTGGATGCCAGCTTTAACATTTGATTCAAAGGCTCACTCCTAGTCCATGGACTGATCAGCTCAGTGTAACTCAAAGTTTGCAGGGATTATTGCTGAGGCAGGTTGAGCTATGAAATCACTGTAAATGAGTCTGAGCAAGAGGAAGATAGAAAATAATACATTCCATTAGGCTGAAGGTGAAAGCAACTGCATGTGTTGCTGGGCTATAGGAGCTCAGGCAGTGCAAATCAGGCTGCAGTGGAGTGATATCCATGGGAGACCTGGCATGGACATCACTGGAGGAGCTGCACCACATTTACACCAGACTTTGGCAAGATCAGAGACAAAGTTGTTTGCTTCAAAGGAGGCACTGCTGATTCGTGCCTTCTGAAAGACCTCAACCTCTACCCCAGCCTTAATTTGCCCTGCCATGGGAAAACAAAGAGAGCTTCCCCTTAAGAGGCAAAGTGCTCCTAAAAACCCTACATAAGCTGCACCGCAGGTCAGAGTGTCAAGAGCATCCCCTCTTGCCCATCTCTTTCACTCAAGCAGGTTCCCAGGCTCCCCTGGGCCATCTAGGAAGGAACGTTGCCCAGTGATAGCAAGGAAGAAAGTGAACATGAGCCTCTTGGATTTGCTTCCTGGACCATCTTCCACCATGGTGATGGTGGGGCTGATGCTGCAGAGACTTCCATAAGGAGATCCACCAGTGTGACTTTGCTGGGATAGCTCCCTCTGTTCTTATGTTTTGACCCAGACAAGCTGCTGCAGAGAAGATCTGCTTTTGTCCCGGCCCTCAGTTGTGCCAATGGCTCTTCCCAGTTGACCCAGCTATAAATAAATCCAGGGATGTATGGCTGGTTGTAGCAGTAGCCGTATGAACCAGGGGGTTCAACAACTCTGCTGTCCAAATAGGTACCAAGGCGCAAGAGGGCCTTCAGCTTTTGGAATTAAATTCCTTCTACCCTCAGGGGCTTGAACAGTGGGAAAGAAGCAGATATTCTTCAGCTGGAAGGAGAAGATGGATGGACCCCAACCATCCTCCCAGGAACGATTCCCACTGTCAGGGCTATATCTCTTGTCAAGAAGCAAACTCTTTTGTTGCAGGACAGATCTGTATCCACAGTGCCCTGGGAGGCTGCTTTGGCAGCCAGCAGCTCCTAAGTCCATGTCTGCAAGCAGGTAGGAAGATCTTACTGCTCTAGAAACCAAACAAGAGTTTCGTTGCAGGATGAGCAACTGAACAGTTGGGGGGAAAGAGGCAGGGGAAGGAGGAGAAGGAGGAGAGGAAAAAATGAAATCGGTGCTGACTTTTTAACCTAATAAGCAGCTCATCAGGCTGAGGACATGACATACGATCAGGAGGATGAGAAGCGGTGTTCTTGGGTCACACCTGTGCTGTGGCTGTGAGTGACAGGGTGTTAAATTGGCACAGTCGGTGCCTAAGTAAGATCTGACACTTCCCCTGGTGACATATGCAGGACTGTCGTCCAAATGCCATGGGATAAGAAGAGGGGGTGGGATGGTGGGTTTTTTTCAGCAGCCCCTCAGTCACGGGTGGAAGGGTTCATCTGCTGCCTGTGCTTTTTGGGGTGCAGCACGCTCCCCTCTTCAAGCACCTTATGAAGATGGTGCAGATCTATTTCCACCCCTTTGCTTACACCAGTCCTGTCTTGATACTTCTAAAGGAGAAGCAGACGGCACAGCACGCCTGCTCTTCCCATTTGATATCTGAGTCACTGCCAGCAGGCCTAAGGCAGCTTCTGGGCTAGCAGGAAAGGTGGAGGCTGTCCCCTCCTCGCTGTCCCATCTTCCCACATCCAGCTCAGGATATTTACAGCCAAGATATTTGAGAGTTACACCGTGGGCTGGGAAACTGGCTTTTCACAGTCGAGCGTCTCTGAGCATCACAGCCCATCTGCAGCATCAGCAAGCCTGTGCTCGCCCCAGCAGCCTTTGCTGCTGCCCAGAGCTGTGGGGATGACGAAGGGGCTGCAAAAAGCAGAAAATCTACCATCAGCCTCATCGTCGGCACTGTGGGCAGGGTGACGGGAACAAATAGTTGATTGTTCATGGGAATACATGCTGTGTCATGTCTGAGAGACAGAGGGCTATCTTCTCCCTCTTTCGTTTCTGGGGTGTCCAGGTACCTTCCAGGGAAGGCAGGGATGCTCCCGAGGGTTGTCTTGCGAGGGAGGAAGGGAGAGAGGTCGTGGATTTCTCTCCACAAAGAAGAGGCATCTGTTCCTGCTGAGTGCTGACACTGCCAACCTCCCTTCTGCCAAGGAATCACAGCTTTTCCCCAGCCTTCTAGTTGTCAAACACCCCTCCCATGTTCTCCACTCTGAAGGTCACACAGTGAGGCTGCTGGGCCAAACTCTGTCCTGGTGTAACTTCCCTGACCTCCAGAAACACAAGAAGTTGAAAGGATATTTTGGGGTTTTTGCTATTGTTCTTTTTCTCCAAAACAAGAAGAGTTCACTTAATTCATGGGTTTGTATCAGCTCAGGCTTAGATGCCAGCATACATCTGCATGTCTAGGCAGAGATTCTCCAAACTGAAAGCTGTGAGCGTACAGAAACTGTGTACTAAGAGCATATTCTAATTCGGTATTTATATTAGACACCGCTCCAAATTATTAGCTGTCAGTTGTGCTTTCCAGTTAGTGAGAAGGGGAGGCTTGGTTTAGCACGTTCACACTTCCCATCAGAACTGAGTATGCTCTTTTAATGGGCTCGCTGGCCTCTACTAAGTGTATATTTGTTGTTGCTAACCAAATTAACAAATCTCAGCATCTTGTTGATGCTTTCTTGCATAAATCAGGAGGAGCGAGGCGAGCTTTGTCTGGTGCCCTAAACAAGAAGGGCATGGCAACAAAGTGGGTGTGAAAGGAGGAGTATCCCTAAAGAAGTTTTTATGTTGCAGAGGCAGTTTAGCATCTCCAACCTCCTGGTAATAAGCACTGGGTGTCCACGCTGAGCTCTCCCGAACCCCCCCACCAGCTCCCACTTGCTGCAGGTCCCATTCCTGTGGGTCCACCAGGTTTCCACCTCTCCGGTATCATGTGTTGATCATAAAAATGATGATGCACAGACAGCCTGTATGCATTCATCACTACTTTTTCATTATCTTTAATTAAATTCTGATATTACGCCACAGTATTTCAGCCACTTTCATTACTTTCTTTATAGGCGGCAGCAGGGAAAGCAATTACTGTACATCACTGCCTTGCCAAAATAAATTTTCAAGTCGAAGCTTGGGTTTGCCTTTTTTAGGCTGCAAAGTATGCAAGGAACCTCCTTCCCCAGCAAATATCCTGAGGACCTGGACCCTGATCCTGCTGAAAGTGATGGCAAAGCTCCAGCCTGCTTGATGGGTGCCAGCTAAACAACTTGGCAGCGATGAGAGGGGTGAGGAAAATGTGTGTGGGGGAAGAAACTTCTTACTCCTCATAAATGTCCTTAAAAGTGTCAAAATACAGGTGTAGCTTGATCGGAGTGAGGTGAGAGGTGCTCAACCCACCCGATTGCTCCTGAGCAGGGCTCCACCAGAGTGATTGGGTGGTGACACTGGTCGGCCCCAGATGCTGAGGCTGCTTTTGCCCTTCGCTTTCTCCTTTTCTCCCTCCTTTTCCCTCTCCTGAGATGAGGAACAGTTCCTGCCCTGCACCATTCCCGCTCCGTGAGGGCCCCGACCCCCCCAACATGGCGGAACCAGCGACCCGCCCTCACAAGATGGCGGCAGCGGTAGCCGGGAAGCAGCGCTTTCCCTCGACCTTCTCAAGATGGCGCTCACTCCCCGCCTCCCTTATCAACATGGCGCCGGCAGAGGCGGCCGCAGGGGCCCTGCACTTGCCCTTCTCAAGATGGCCGACCGAGGCGGACGTCGGGCCACACCCAATATGGCGGCCCCGCTTCCTCACTCACCGAGCACTTCCGGTGGGGCCTGGTGTCAGCGGCGCGGCCATGGCGGACCTGACAGACGCGGAGCTCCGGAAGGAGCTGATAGCGCTCGGGTACCGGCCGGGGCCCATCACCGCCACCACCCGCAAAGTCTACATCAAGAAGCTGGGCTGCCTGCGGGCCGAGGTGGCGGCGGCCAGGCGCAGGGGCCACGGCCCG